GATGAAGAAGAGGCGGACAATGGTAACAATGTGGAGGAGGGGATCAGGAACGGTCACGGTGAGGAAGGAGAGGAAGGGGAGTGGGAGGACTCGTGGGAGCAGGGTCTGGGTGTTTGTCGAGTGGACTGTTTCTCTCGCTCCCTTGAACAGTGTGTCAGAGAGGGGTTACGCTCCTCTCAGCAGGTCACCTCCACTCTGGCCAAGGCTGCGTGTTTCTACAACTACATTACCTCTGCTGTGCCACCTGAGAAGCTCAGCCAGGTGTTTGATGGTCCTGGGTTGAATATGGGGGGACCAGGAAACACCCCCACTGCAGCAAGAGACTGGGCTGCTCAGCTTAAGGTATGCAAAGTATACAGGTAGCCCTTTACTGAAACTCCCCCTACTTAACCTTTACAAGAATGTAGACACTTAATAAATGATATGCAGATGTAAGGACTTTTTAATGCATGTTTACAGCTTTATGATGATGTATTTTATTAATTACAACTATGTTATACTATCAGTAAGAGCTGTGGTAGTTACTTGAGGAGTTATACTGACAAATACATTAATAAGCACTTGATACACTATGCAGGATTTTCCTGAAAACAAATGTGTGACTCATGAAGACGTAATCCCTCCCAGTCATCACTTATGACCCTCTAGAAGTGTGTGCCGGTGTTTAAAGACTCTGCCCTCTACCTGTATTTTCTTATTTTCTGTGTTCGAGACATTTATGGGTGTGTACTCTCACAGTGCTTAGGTCATTGTCAAGACTTGCGTAGTCTTGACAATAGATGTGGCTGCTGCAATAACACCCCTGCAGACCTTGCCCATATGTCTGTCTTTGTCCCACATTTGAAGAGCTTCCAGGCCAACCTTGTCTGTAATTTTTAAAAAGGGATTTGCACTCTTGCATTCTGATAGCATTGTTTGGGGTTCCAGAGGACCTTACTATTCTGACTGCCAGACAGGCCGCTGTAGTGGCGTATGCATCTCTATTAGCTCGTCGCAGAATTTTGCTAGAATGGAAGTCCCCTAACCCTCCATCATCATCTGTCTGGCTTAGAGACCTGGTATTCTTTCTCAAACTTGAGAAGATAAAATTCATTCTTAGGGGTTTTGATAGGTTATTATAAGGTGTTACTAGTATGCAGCATGTGTCCGTAATAACTTAATTTCATAGCCAGATTATGAAGCTGTTTCAGGAAGATTTATATTATGATGCTAAGAAATGCTAGCTTTCCTGCAATGACAAAAGCAAGAGTATATTTCCATGGTTTTAAGTAGCATAGTTTTGTTTCATTTGTGATGCAGGTGCTTCGGCGGCTGCTGGACTCCGTGGAGTTCCTGGAGGAGGTGAGTGGTCCGGGGGAGCTGGCGCTGGGTGGTTCAGAGAGAGCCCTGCTGAGGGAGCTCACCGACACTTTGGAGCCCTTCACCGAGGCCTGGGACATGGTGCAAGGGGACAGACAGGCGGACATACAGACGGACAGACATGTCTCCATCAGCCTGGCTCTGCCGTGCGTTCTCGGCCTCCGTAAGCATCTCTCTGAGACGTCGACGCCCCACTGCCCCTCCCTCCTGGTGGGCCTCAGCCAGGCTGTAGAGCGCAGGCTGGCCCCCGTCCTAGAGGACCCTCTCTACATCACTGCCACCACCCTGGACCCCCAGTTCAAGCTCACTTGGAGCAGCAACCCTGACTGGCACAGACAAGTTCTCATAGAGGAGTTGTCCAAACATTCCACAGCCTCCAGCCCCATAGACCCCAACACAGACCTACACCCTCAATCCCAAACTCCTCCTGCCCCAGCTCCGTCGCCAGTCTCCTCGCTTTCCCGGCCCTGTAAGCTGTTCTCTTTCATCAAGCAGAGACCCACAACACAAGCCAAGAGCCTGGAGCAGGAGCTGGCCGTCTACCTACGAGAGGAGCCCACAGACGAGGAGGCTTTGCATTACTGGCGGCGTAAGGCAATTGACTTTCCTCTGCTCGCCCAGGTGGCAAAGCGGGCATTCACCATACCTGCTTGTGGCACTGTAGTTGAGAGCATTTTCACTGCTGCTGGGCGCTGTCTGCGGCCAGAGAGAGGCCGCGTCTTACCAAAGAACCTGGAGACGCTCATCTACCTCAAAGCAAACTACAGATTATTATGGACTTAAAGCTAGCAGTCAGGCATTTCTTTTACCAAAATAACAACTCACGGCTTTATACCTGCAGCAAAGTTACTTCTTGGATACTAACGTCTGTTCCTCTTGAAGGGAACCTGAGCTAGCAGCATAACATAGTCCTCATCATTTGACGTGAGATGGAATGAATCACCCAGAGGCTCAGTTGTCCAGGATTACTGTCTGTTTACCATGTAGCCTGCATACAGACTATCATACCACATGCTGCGGACCAAGGGGACCAGAAGCAGATCAATACTAAAGCAGTTACTTCAACATTATTTTGCCTGGTCAGGGTCTTCAGACAACCGCAACACCGCAAAGCCTCCGCTCTCTATCCTCTGAACCCCGAACACAGCTTGTGTCTGTGCACTGACAAACCAACAATAACCAAATGGTCAATTACTGCATACTGTAGCACATGATTTATTTTCACTGATATACAGTAACCCTAGAGGTTGTGACTAATTCATTTGTTGTTTTTTTAAAGGAAAGCATCAGCTGCTAAACAATATGCATCATCCACGTATTCTTTTCTCTCTCTGTATGTATGCCTCATGACTGGGACATCATAATAAACGAGTTTCACTTCCTAACGCAGAGGTGTGTGCATTTTACAGATTTGGGTGCACTCATGCATGTATGTTACACACCTTTTTAAGCGGAAATCTGCTTCATATATCTAATTTTTGACCCTAACTCCTTCATATTTTCCGATTCCAGTCTTAGTTTTTCCTTTTGCGCTGTGAGGGTCCAAGGACAGGAGGATGTTGTATACTGTAAAGCCCCCTGAGGCAAACTGTTATTTGTGATATGGGGCTGTATAGATAAAATTGAAATTATTATTTGTACAGCCCTCTGAGGCATGTTTTGTGATTGGGCTCTAATGAACTTTGACTTGACTGGACTAATCAGCAAATCACTTTGGGTTGCCTTTGGGTTATGAAATGTGCTGTACAAATAAATTTGCCTTGCTTTATAACTCCACATGTGCTCCGTCAGAGTGGAGGTCAATTTCATTTCATTTTCTTCACCAGCACTTTCTTCCTTTTTCAATCAATGTCCAATTCTACTTCTGAACTTTGTGGAATTTAAATGGGTTTGACCCGGCGTCTGCCCCCAGACAGCTAGCTGAGGATGTTCAAGTGCGGCACAACTTTTGCTCTGTCTGACCTCACTGAAATATTTTGAAACCACTTTGCAGGGCACCGCTTTGAAGGAGAAACTGTGAACGTTGCTGTGTGCGTTTGCTTTTATTCAAGAACTCTGTTACTCTTGGCCAGGCCGGTGGGGATGCTGGGTAATTGCATGTAATTCCATTACAGTTAAATTTGAGTCAGCAGGCAGTCAGCAGTCGCATCCTACGCAGTCCTTTCCTTCAAAGCCAACTAGACTCACAACATCTTATTACTAGCAGGAGACTATATGTTGACTATATGTTGCTCCTGTACTCGTGCTCTCAAACACACGATCAGAGGGCACAAGCTGCTTCGATGCATTGATTATTTTTATGTGATAAATAGGGAGCAACAGCATCAATCAATATGAAGATGACTGGCTGTGAAGGAATTGCAATAGATCTGATTATAAAGACTGTCACGAGGATTAGATGTCTTCTTCACAGGCTGCACAACAGCTTCATCCCCGTGTTACTGTTTTTGTTATAGTTGAAAAGCACTTCAGAGGAAGTGTGTTAATCTGTGTGAGATACAATGAGATTTCCCCCATAGATCATAATTATCAAAGATTGCTGTGATCCTAATGATTATCACCGCGGGACGTCTCTGTGGATTTAGATACGTCGCTTGATATCCGTGTGGATGTGTCAGCGTGTTTATCTTTGAAAAGTGTTTTTGCTCATCCCCATGGGTGTGTTGTTGTTTGCGAGTGTATGTGGAGCAGCTTGAAGCGTCTCTCCCTCCCCTCCCTTTCCCTCCCCCCGGCTGTGACAGCTCATCCATTTGAGTTAGTCGAGCAGGCTGGGCTGCGGTCCTATTGGTAATTGCCTCTGAAATGAATTACTTGGCAGCGAGTGAGACTGAAGGAGGAAAGGAAATTGTAATTGAACTGCCCCCTCCCTCCCACCATCTCCCTTATGCCTCAAGTTATTACATCTGCAGTGCAGAAAGCCATTTTCTGTCCGCACATAGACACATACAGACGCAAAAATACACACACGCTTACAAAACCAATCTTTCCCCCTCCCCCCATACACTGGCCTCAGCAGAGGGCCATATTGATGCAGGGCGATTTCATAGATTGATTGTTCACGGGCGCATGCACACTGGGCCACACTTCACTCTTGCACTCTTAGAGACAAATACTTACACACTGGTGTTTGTGTGTGTTTGTGCCGCACTGATGTCTCTCCTTCCCTATTTGGGGTGCCCTCTTGCTGGCCTTTGTGTATTGCTAACGTGCTGCAGGTCACTGGAGTTGGCACAAACAAACGTGGTGTTCAGTATCAACAGACCCCTGGTTACCCCATACACACAGACGCATACAGGCAAACATCGTTATTAATAACCTGCCTGTTGCTGGCCCGTTGACAGTTTAAGCCCGATGGATTAAAGAGCTGCCACTCATTTTATTTGGGGTTGTATATATTTATTTCTGTTTATACACAGAATATGGTACTTTCCTTTCTGAATTTGGCAACTTCGTAAAGTGTGTAAGAGATACAAGTCCAGCAAAGCCCCTGAAGTTCCTCATGCAACACATGGTCACCCACTCTTGTGCTGTCCTTTGGCCTTTTAGCAGCCAGGGCATGGAAAGAGGAGGAGTACGTTAACCTATCCCTGCCCCAGCCAGACATGCATGTGTTGTGACTCCCACCAGGGCACACAATAGGATCTATTTCTGTAAGTGCACTAGGGTTATCACTCTACTTACCCTGAGCTATCTCTCTCTTCCTCCCTGTCCCTCCCTCTCTATCCAACACTCTCACCCACTTGCTCACAATCATGGCCGACAGAAACAGCCGGGTGTCTGTTAAGAAAAAAGACAAGAAGGTGGAAAACAAAACCAACGATGAGAAGGACAAAGACAAGGGGAAAGAGAAAAGTGTGAAGAAGCCTGACAAACTTGTGAAAAAGTCAGAGAAGACCCCCGAGCAGCCCAAGGCGGAAGAAGAGAAGAGGAATGGGGAAAGTGGAGGCGCAACAGGAGCAGAGGTGGCAAACAGTGAAGAAAATGGAGAGTTTCAGCCCATAGAACTGCCACCGTTTGAGATCATCACAGGGTGAGTGAAATTTAACACACACAACACAAGAGTTAGTGTGTCACACTTACCTGTTTTGCTTTTTAACACTTAGGTTATTAGTTGTTTTCTCTTGTATATAAAGTAGTTTTTCATGTCTTTCTTTACATCATATTGTTCCCAACGCACGTTCTATAGTGGATTTTGGCGAGGAAGGATACTAATGGCTTGCACCTGCCATCCTTACTAACCCAACGGTAAGAATAGGGATGAGTCACAGAGCTGACAGATGCCAGCCCCTGCTTTATCACTCCGCCTAGCATCTGTTCCACAGTCTCCGTCTCTCTGAGTATTAGCTGTTTGATACGAGAGATCTATTTGTGAAATCCATCTGGCTATTCATGCGCAATATAACAAAGGATTAATAAAGAAAGACAGGAGGGGAATGTGCTTTGTACAGTGGCTGAATCGTGAAGAGCCTTGCACATCTACAGATAATGGGATGATGTGGGAGCCAAAAATATTTATAGAAGCACCGGTTTACTCAGCAGTAGCCTGGTTAATATTCTATTCACTGTGTCACCATAGTTTATTTCCAAGACTCAATATCATCGCTCTTTTTTGTGCCTTGGATGGTTGACAAATTCATCTCAAAATGAGTGAGTCATGCTGCCATTGATAGGCCAGGAAGTGAATGTCAGTCACACTGTCATGCACTATCATTAAAGGTGACAGATAACTTTGGAAGTACTGTTGACACATCGTGCTGATTGGGTTTATTTACTCTTTCATGCTCATCCAAAGGTCCAGTGTGAAGGATTTAGGGGGATATATCGGCAGGAATGGAATATCATATCAGAAGTATGTTTTCTTTAGTGTATAATCACCTGAAAATAAGAATTGTTGTGTTTTTGTTACCTTAGAATGAGCCGTTTATTTCTACATAGGGAGCAGGTCCTCGTTCATGGAGGCTGCAATGTTGCATCGCCATGTTTCTACAGTAGCCCAGAACAGACAAACCAAACACTGGCTCTAGACAGGGTCATTTGAGTTTTTGCTTTCGCCACTTTAGTTATCAGCCCCTCCACGATGAGTAGCATCACAAAAACATAGACTTTTTTAGACATGAAACTGCTTTATTCAGTGTTTTTACCGGTTTAAACCACCTGGTCTGCTTGTTTTGGAGAGGAAGAGACCTCTGCTGATAATTCGGCTCCTGGTAAAAACCTCCCGATCATTTGGATCGTAAGTTATCAGACAAAAAGATGAGCACACATAGCACTGATTTGTAACATGAAACTGCTTCATTCAGTGTCTTTACTGGTCTTAATCAGCTGGTCTGCTTGTTATGGAGAGGAAGAGACCTCTGCTGATAACTCAGCTCCCTATGAAAACCTCCTGATCTATAAACACAAAAGGAATCCTAAGTGGGAGTTCACCTTCATGTTGGACACGGGAGAAGTTTAAGCTGGTTGCAATTTGCAGTCCTCACCACTAGATGTCACTAAATCCTACACACTGCTCCTTTAAAGGAATACTTCACCCAGTAAATTCATAAAATAAACTTTGTTTTCCTTGCATGCCTCTGGTGAACAAAGAATAAAAGTCAAAGGGGGCTGCATTTATAAAAAGCAAAACTATGTCAAAACGTGCGTTCACAAAGTCTCACACAACTTGTGCAGTACAATCTAAGTCTCATTCATCTAGTTGTATGCTCAGTACTTCACAAACAGACAGCCCTTTCCGATGGGGAACTGAATTCAAGTAAAACTTATTCATGTTCTTTTTAAAGCCAGACTCCGTTGACAAAAACAGTCATTTTACCCCACTTAACATCAGAGCTGCCGATCTACTGCTGCCTTGATCAGATAGTTGGCTTGTGTTATTGTGTGACGTTGCTGAATCCAAACAAACACTTTAAAACACCAAAGTCACACAATAACACAAACAAACTAACTGATCAAGGCAGCGGTAGACCAGCAGCGTCCATGTTCAGCGAGGTTAAATTACTGTTTTTGTCAATGGAGTCTGGCTTTGAAGAGAAGACAGATAAGTTTCACCGTTAGTTCAGTTCCCCATCTGAAAGGGCGTCTGTTTAGGAAGTGCTGAGCATATGACTGCATAAATGAGACTTGGATTATACTGCATACGTTTCTAAACTGATGTTTTCAGATAGTTTTGCCCCACTTGACTTCAATTCATCAAGATTGTTTTTTTTTTTTCTTTGTTCATCAGAGGCATGCAAGAAAAATGTTTTCTTTACAAATGAAACATAACACAGGGTGCGTAATTGATATGGAAATGGGGGTGAGGTATTCCTTTAACCTCCATGCACTAAAAAGCCCCGTGATGACGGCTAGTGATGTGCCTCATGAAACATTTGCTTTGGTATTTACTTAAAGGCAAACATAGTTTTCAGATCTCATTTTCAATCTCCACCAGGGAACAGATGAGCCCGTTCTACTTCAAGTTTCAGTTCAGGAACGTGGAGTACTCATCAGGGAGGAACAAGACCCTGCTGTGTTTCAGAGTGGATACACCAGGAGGCACCACAGAGCCTCTGAAAGGTTATATGGAGGATGAACATGCCACAGCTCATGCTGAAGAGGCCTTCTTTCAACAGGTAATCCACGCTCTCACTTAGCTTTTCTTACTGGCCGTATCATGTAACACATACATGAACTCCCTGCAAGCTTTGGTTTCTGTTAGCTTTTTCTGTTGTGATAAAGTTATATGATAATGTTTATTCTCTTTTATCCCTCTGTAAATCCCCTCTCTTTCCTCTCCAGGTGCTCCCTAATGCATCCCAGGAGTGTGAGGTCACCTGGTACATAACATCCAGTCCCTGTGCAGCCTGTGCAGCCAAACTGGCCACCATCCTCCAGCAGCGCAAGAAGGTCCGTCTCTGCATGTTCTGCTCCCGTCTCTTTGAGTGGGAGCAGCCGGAGATAGTGGAGGGGCTCCGGGCTCTGGCGAGAGCCGGCTGCAAACTGCGGATGATGAAGCCGTCTGACTTCATACACGTTTGGGAAACGTACGTGGAGAAGGAGGAGGAGAGCTTTGCACCTTGGGAGGATTGTCAGGAGAACTACAACTACTATGTGGAGAAACTGGCTGATATCCTCAAGTAGATGTGAGTCAGGGGGTTATTTGCTACTTGTGTGTTTAAAAAAATCATTGGATTGTGAGTTTTGTCTGCATAATGACTGTCTCATACTTATGTCTTTTGTCACAGGTGCACACGATAGACAAGATCTCCCCACTGACTGAACCACAAATCAGCCTACCTGTTATATCCCCACTGGTTGAATGTGTGTTTCTTGCCGTCACAACTGACGGTGCAGATCAGTTTTAGTTTGAATGAACACTCATGGCGACATTTTGTATTTTTTATTTTGATAATTTCATCGGGAGACCCAAATTGCTTGATTGGCAGTTGAGAGGAAGACAGCAATAACATAAACTGCTGTAACATTTAATATTAAATAAGCTGTGGTGTAGACTAACTTATATTTACTCAGATCTGGGGCCAGATGCACAACTGCGGCCATTTATAGCGCCCGTACCACTAATTCCTCACATGTACCTGTAAACCATCTTCAAGGTTATGTCTCAATCATCGTTATTAAACATCAGAAAGGTTCATTTATAGCGCTCATATTGAAACAGACTTCTTAAAGTGCTTTACAGTTGAGGATGAAAAGTAAAAAAGAAAGATTTACCACTCATAAATCATTTGAAAATTGACATTTCACACAACGAGGTGTAGCCCGCACATTAATAACATGACCAGTGAAATGTTTTTGGGCATACACAGTTTATACATCTGGCCCTAGGTGTTTGCTACAACAAGTAAAAAACCAACCAAAGGAGGACTGATATATTCTCCTGCAGGTCAACACATATGTACAGTACACATAACTGCTAACAATGAAAGCCAACAATGTATATGATTGATGCATATCACATAATGTAAACAGTGCCTTTAACAGTTCATCAGTGCAGTGACATGGATTAAACTATGTAAAGTTCTCAACAGTACTGTGCCACCAGGTCATGTTCAGTGCAAAACAAATCTGTACACATTAAATGGCAGCCTGTTGTTCCAGGGTGCAATATATCGTTAACTATTTTAATTTCCATTAAATTTGGTACCAATATTTACAGTGCCCGGAGGACGACTCCTAATTCATTTACTCGACTTTTATCCAGTACTGCAGACAAGTCAAAACTTTAAATTTTATATGCCGCTTGTAGCCTATAAACAGCGAGAATGTCTCTCTAGTTTTAATACATCAAAAAAAAATTGTAACCCATCAAAGCCTCACAGGGCTGTGTCACCCAGTGGTTGAGTTGCTAGAGCAGGTGTCCCATATACAAAGGCAATGTCCTTTCTTTAGCAGCCATAGGTTCAATGCCAGCCTGCTGCCCTTTGCTACATGTCATCCCCTCTCTCCCTTCCCCGCTTCATGCTTAGACTGTCCTAATAAAGACAAAAAAAAAAAAAAAATCTTAAAAAAAAGCCTTAAAAGTTTACAGACTTGTAATTATTTGCCAAAGTGATGCAATGAGAGCTTCACTGACTCATTGTTTAAAGGAAACCAGTCCACTGTTGTTTTCTGTTGTGTCATGGTTCTCACTCGTCACAGCTAGAAAGGATGTCGAAATATGGATTAGAAATACTTTGTGTCTCAGTTATAAAGAAGCCAGCACAGAAAATGGGCGAAAAAGAGGAAATATTTCACTGGAAAAGTGCATTTGGAGTATAACTTCATTACCTTGGTCTTCCTGTGAAGTTATTGGTAAGGGTGTTGTTTCACTGCAAATCGTGCCGTTCTCTTCTGCTTCTGTGGGTGGGATTGTTTTCAAAATGCAACCAAGCAAATATATCAGTGAGGGGTGGACCCAGGGGACTTTACAAACACTCAAAGTAACACAGGATTTGTATCTTCCGCTTTACTTATCTGTGGGCTTTTTTACCTTTAGGTGAAGCTCTCAGTTCTGCATCAGTAATGTACTTAACCAGTGGACAGGCTGCATCTGCAGGAGGGAGGAAGCAGCTTTATCACAACAGCACCAACGGCTACAGGCAATGAGAGTCAGGCTGTGACTTGAAAATGTCAGTAGGTAGTTTCACAAATGGTATTTTCTACAATAGCTCTGAAATGAATCACTGGTGGAGCTGTATCTGCAGCATGTGTGGAAACGGCGACCAAAACCACAAGCCATGAGAGGTGGCGTCAACGTACCATCACGGTCCTTTAGCTGAGCCATGGTAGGAAACAGCTCTGTGTCTTCTGGCTTCTCATCATCATCAGCTATGAGGTAGAAAAGAATAATAGGTTGATGGGTCACCTCATTGTGGCTTTTGTTTAATTTGAGATGAAGTGGGCTGGCCACTTCATGTGAAGCATGCCACATTTATACCTCCATTTTATCACCTTTTAGTTTATCATCTTTCTATTCACTTTCTTTTAGTGTCTGTTTTAGTCTCCTGTAACTCCTGAAAGAACATCATAGTATAGTATGTCAAAAAAAGTCATAGTATAGTATGTCATAAAAAAACAGTATAGTTAGTATGTCTTAAAAAACACAGTATAGTTAGTATGTCTTAAAAAACATAGTGTAGTTAGTATGTCATAAAAAAACAGTATAGTTAGTATGTCATAAAAAACAGTATAGTTAGTATGTCATAAAAAACAGTATAGTTAGTATGTCATAAAAAACATAGTATTGTTAGTATGTCATAAAAAACAGTATTGTTAGTTTGTCATAAAAAACACAGTATAGTTAGTATGTCATAAAAAAACAGTATAGTTAGTATGTCATAAAAAACAGTGTAGTTAGTATGTCATAAAAAAACAGTATAGTTAGTATGTCATAAAAAACACAGTATAGTTAGTATGTCATAAAAAACATAGTATTGTTAGTATGTCATAAAAAACAGTATTGTTAGTTTGTCATAAAAAACAGTATAGTTAGTATGTCATTAAAAAACAGTATAGTTAGTATGTCATAAAAAACANTCTTAAAAAACACAGTATAGTTAGTATGTCATAAAAACATAGTGTAGTTAGTATGTCATAAAAAACACAGTATTGTTAGTATGTCATAAAAAAACAGTATAGTTAGTATGTCAAAAAACACAGTATTGTTAGTATGTCATAAAAAAACAGTATAGTTAGTATGTCATAAAAAACAGTATAGTTAGTATGTCATAAAAAACACAGTATTGTTAGTATGTCATAAAAAAACAATATAGTTAATATGTCATAAAAAACACAGTATAGTTAGTATGTCATAAAAAACATAGTATTGTTAGTATGTCATAAAAACAGTATAGTTAGTATGTCTTAAAAAACATAGTATTGTTAGTATGTCATAAAAAACACAGTATAGTTAGCATGTCATAAAAAAAACACATAGTATAGTTAGTATGTCATAAAAAAACCATAGTATAGTTAGTATGTCATAAAAATGTCATAGTATAGTATGTCATAAAAAAACATAGTATAGTTAGTATGTCATAAAAAAACATAGTATAGTTAGTATGTCATAAAATGTCATAGTATAGTATGTCATAAAAAAACATAGTTAGTATGTCATAAAAATGTCATAGTATAGTATGCCATAAAAAAAACATAGTATAGTTAGCATGTCATAAAAAAAAACACATAGTATAGTTAGTATGTCATAAAAAAAAAACATAGTATAGTTAGTATGTCATAAAAATGTCATAGTATAGTATGTCATAAAAAAACATAGTATAGTTAGTATGTCATAAAAAAACACATAGTATAGTTAGTATGTCATAAAAATGTCATAGTATAGTATGCCATAAAAAAAAACATAGTATAGTTAGTATGCCATAAAAAAAAACATAGTATAGTTAGTATGTCATAAAAAAACCACAGTATAGTTAGTATGTCATAAAAATATCATAGTATAGTATGTCATAAAAAAACATAGTATAGTTAGTATGTCATAAAAAAACCACAGTATAGTTAGTATGTCATAAAAAAACATAGTATAGTTAGTATGTCAAAAAAAAAACATAGTATAGTTAGTATGTCATAAAAATGTCATAGTATAGTATGTCATAAAAAAACATAGTATAGTTAGTATGTCATAAAAAAACACATAGTATAGTTAGTATGTCATAAAAATGTCATAGTATAGTATGCCATAAAAAAAAACATAGTATAGTTAGTATGCCATAAAAAAAAACATAGTATAGTTAGTATGTCATAAAAAAACCACAGTATAGTTAGTATGTCATAAAAATATCATAGTATAGTATGTCATAAAAAAACATAGTATAGTTAGTATGTCATAAAAAAACCACAGTATAGTTAGTATGTCATAAAAAAACATAGTATAGTTAGTATGTCATAAAAAAAACATAGTATAGTTAGTATGTCATAAAAATGTCATAGTATAGTATGTCATAAAAAAACACAGTATAGTATGTCATAAAAAAACATAGTAGAGTATGTCATAAAAAACGTCATGACAGTGAACAGTTTCACTGGAACTACTTGGGAATTAAGAGACACTATGCTGCCAATCAGAATCAAGTATTGTTTTCACATTGTAACTGATAAATTATTTAATAATATTGATTATAGGTGATTTAATTATGCAGATTTTTAGAATCCATGCACTCAAGGAGTCTCAAAACTTCATAACACCTGGTTTGTGGAAGATTCTGAGGAAAATGCATCCAATGAAGACAGCGATGATGCCAAAAAAGATACAGCCAGAGATGGAAAGAAGCACTCTCCTCTTCAAAACTGCAGATTAGAAATTAAAAACAAGAAGAATGAAATGAGACATACCATTTGCTCTGTAATAACTCATAACTTTCAGACCTCAGTTATACTCACGAAGATTCTTGGTCTTGAAAGATTCACTGATTTTTGAATATGATGGTCTGCCGTTGCTAACGCCCTGGCAGGTGTACAGGCTCTGCTCAGGGTCATTCTGGGGTGTGACTGTATGTTTTTCAGTGAGTGGCTGATTGATTCGTTGGCCCTCTTTAAACCTGTGACAATCCACACAGTACACATGAGTGCATTCAGAATACTTTAATCTATAGTATTAAATTGTATTTTTTTCTGTGCATTACCACGTATAGTTCCACATGTCCGGATTTTCCTGCACCCCACATCTGAGCACCAAGCTGTCAGTGGAGAAGACCTCGGACCAGCCAGTCAACAGGACGATATCAGCCTGTGGGCGCTCTGCAGAAACACAATCAAAACTGTGATGAACACATTCAACACATTGAGAAAAATGTTTGAGGGAAGTCTACAAATACTTACCCTTAACCTCAAGCCTTGCAGCTTGACTCTTGTCTGAGAGGAAGACTGAACTTCCTATTCTTCTAACTAGGCATTGATATGATCCAGTGTTGGATGTTGCAACAGGCGTGATTGTGTAATTGTTTCCAGATTCAGTGATTTGAGTGCCATCTTTGTACCACAGGTATTCCCATCCAGAAGAGACATTAGTGTGACAGCTGAAGGAGACTGAATCTCCACTATGCATCACATCGTGTGTGGGATTCTGCATCAGTGTGACTCTGGGTTTTGTATCTGTGGAGAGATAATAATGTCATTGCGATAAGTATGACAGCATTTTATTGGGTATCACACTGCACAAACCAAAGTAGGAAGAAGCTGGCCTTTAACTAGATGCTTTAGGGGCCCGTACACATGCTGCAGTTTTTGTGCCCTCACATCCATTGTTAATGTAGATGCGCTCAAAAGCAAGAGCGATACCATTCCCAAGCACCTATTCTTCAGGATTTTTCAGCATGACAGGTGCGCCTTGAGATAAAAAATGTAAACTTTTGGAATGCAGCAGCGCACACCACATGTAATGTGACAGGGAACAACCAATCACAGTTGGCAGATATCTTTCCTTTCCTAGTAGCTATCAGTCAAGAAATATGGAGGAGAAATTGATCATTTTGATGCAGCATTACCCAGAGCTTTACATCTGCCCCAAGACAATATATTAAACACCCTTTAAAAACAATGCCCAGCAGGAGATCAGTTCCAAATTTGGCAAGTAGGTATTGATACTGTGCTAGTTATGGTCGCGAAACGATGTCAAGAAGAACCTGCCTCCGTGCCCATCACAGTCACTAAAATAAATAAACAAAATCATAGCCTGTGATACAATGAAAAAAAAAAAAAAAAAAAAAAAAAAAAAAAAAAAAAAAAAACAAGAAGAAGAAAAGTTCAGTGTGCCATAAGAAGTCAGTGTAAGAAAAAGTAAGTCAGTAAAAAAAATGTCATAATGTCATAAGTATCATAGTATAATAGTATGTCATCGAAAATGTGATAAAAACGTCGCAGTATAGTACGTCATCAAAAATGTGACAAAAACATAGTATAGTACATCATCGAAAATGTGATAAAAACGTCAAAGTATAGTAGGTCATCGAAAATGTGAAAAAACATCATAGTATAGTATGTCATCAAAAATGTGACAAAAATGTCATAGTATAGTATGTCATCAAAAATATAATAAAAACGTCATTGTATAGTATGTCATCAAAAATATGATAAAAATGTCATAGTATAGTACATCATCGAAAATGTGCTAAAAACATCAAAGTATATTAAGTCATTAAAAATGTCTTTAAAACGTCATAGTATAGTATGTCATCAAAAATGTGATAAAAATGTCATAGTATGGTATGTCATCAAAATTGTCTCAAAAAAGTCATAGTATAGTATGTCATCAAAAATATGATAAAAATGTCATAGTATAGTACGTCATCGAAAATGTGCTAAAAACATCATAGTATAGTATGTCATCAAAAATGTGACGAAAACGTCAAAGTATAGTACGTCATCGAAAATGTGACAAAAACGTCATAGTATAGTATGTCATCGAAAATGTGACAAAAACATCATAGTATAGTATGTCATCAAAAATGTGATAAAACCGTCATAGTATAGTACGTCATCAAAAATGTGATAAAAACGTCATAGTATAGTATGTCATCAAAATAGTCTCAAAAATGTCATAGTATAGTACAAAAATATGATAAAAATGTCATAGTATAGTAAGTCATCGAAAATGTGCTAAAAACGTCAAAGTATAGTAAGTCATTAAAAATGTCTTTAAAACATCATAGTATAGTATGTCATCAAAAATGTGATAAAAACATCATACTATAGTATGTCATCAAAATTGTCTCAAAAATGTCATAGTATAGTATCTCATCAAAAATGTGATGAAAATGTTAAAGTATATTATGTCATCAAAAATGTGACGAAAACATTAAAGTATAGTATGTGATCAAAAACCTCATAGCATAGTATGTCATTGAGAATTTGATAAAAACATCATAGTATAGTATGTCATCAAAAATGTGATAAAAACATCAAAATATAAAATAAAAAAGTCCTAGTATAGTATGTCATCAAAAATGTGATAAAAATGCCATAGTATAGTATGTAATCAAAAATGATATAAAAACCTCATAGTATAGTATGTCTTCAAAAATGTGACAAAAACGTCATAATATAGCATGTCATCAAAAATGTGTTAAAAAAACACGTCATCAAAAATGTCACAAAAATGTCATAGTATAGTATGTCATCAAAAACTCCATCTTAGGGCCCATTTTTTTTTGTACTATACATGCTTCCTTTAGGCTCCATTTTCCGCCAGCACAAATGCTCTTTTCACTGTTATGCCGACGACACACAAATTTATCTTCCGTTCAACGCATGGGATTCCAGCTCCATCACATCCATTCTGAACTGCCTCCAGGATGTGAAATCCTGGATGGCAACAAACTGTCTTCAATTAAACAATAACAAAACAGAGGTATTTGGTCCCCCCAGCAACACAGTCAGCATAGTCAGTCACTTAGGACCACTTATACCATATGTCCATAGCCATACCAGGAATCTTGGTGTCATTTTTGACTCTGCATTTAAATTTGACAAACAAATCAACACTGTGGTGAAAGGCTGTTATTTCCAACTTAAGAACATTGCAAAGTGCAAGTCCATCATCTCACACAGTGACCTCAAGACCGTTACCACTGCATTCATCTCCTCAAGGCTGGACTACTCTAACTCCCTTGTACTTGGGTGTCTGCCAATCATCTTTGTCTTGTTTGCAGCTGGTGCAGAACGTTGCAGCAAGACTTCTCACTGGTGCCAGGAAAAGAGACAACATTACACCAGTGCTAGCATCCCTGCACTGGCTACCCATCAAATTCAGGATTGATTTTAAGGTTCTTTCATTTGTTTTTAAAGCCATACATGCGCTGGCATCCCAGTATATTGCTGAACTCCTCTGCCCCTACTCCACCTCCCGACCCGTTAGATCCTTCGAACATTGTCTTTTAACTGTCCGACGATTGAAGCTTGTGGGTAAGGGAGATCGTGCCTTTGCAGTCGCTGCTACAAAGCTCTGGAATAGCCTTCCCCTCTTAATCAAATGCTCCCCCTCCATTGACACTTTTAAGACAAATCTTGTTTTCAGTGGCCTTTGGTTGTATGTAGTGATCCTAATATTTTAGCATTTCATCTCATCTTTTCATTTTTGTAATTGTTCTTACCAGTTGTATTATGTTTCAAGTTTGTGTACATTCTGTATTGCTATATATTTGTCTGTCATTCTTTTATCTTGTGCAGCACTTTGGTCAGCTGCAGTTGTTTTTAAATGTGCAGTATAAATAAACTTGATTTGATTTGATTTGATAAAAATGTCAAATCATAAAAAATGTTACAAAAATATCATAGCATAGTATGTCATGAAAATGCAAAAAAAAAAATAAAGAAATGTCATAGTATAGTATGTCATCAAAAATGTGAAAAAAAAGTCACAGTACAGTATGTCATCAAAAAAGTGATGAAAATGTTATAGTATAGTATGTCATCAAAAATGTCATAAAAACGTCCTAGTTTAGTATGTTATCAAAAATGTGATAAATGGGTCATAGTGTAGTATGTCATCAAAAATGTGATAAAAATGTCATAGTATAGTATGTCATCAAAAACGTCAAAAAAAAGTCATAGTATAGTATGTCATCAAAAATGTCACAAAAACATCATAGTATAGTATGTCATCAAAAACGTAAAAAAAAAGTCATAATATAGTATGTCATCAAAAACGTCAAAAAAAAAAGTCATAGTATAGTATGTCATCAAAAATATGATAAAAACGTCATAGTATAGTATGTCATCAAAAACGTAAAAAAAAGTCATAGTATAGTATGTCATCAAAAATATGTAAAAACGTCATAGTATAGTATGTCGACAAAAAAGTGAAAAAAATGTCATAGTATAGTATGTCATCAAAAATGTCTCTAAAATGTCATAGTATAGAATGTAAAGAATAATGTGATGAAAACATCATAGTATAGTATGTCATCAAAAATGTCACAAAAATGTCATAGTATAGTATGTCATCAAAAATGTCTCGAAAATGTCATAGTATAGCATGTCATCAAAAATGTGACAAAAAGTCATAGTATAGTATGTAAAGAATAATGTGATGAAAACATCATAGTATAGTATGTCATCAAAAACGTCAAAAAAAAGTCATAGTACAGTATGTCATCAAAAATGTGACAAAAACGTCATAGTATAGTATGTCATCAAAAATGTGACAAAAACATCATAGTATAGTATGTAATCAAAAATGTCACAAAAAAGTCATAGTATAGTATGTCATCAAAAATGTGACAAAAAACGTCATAGTAGAGTATGTCGACAAAAATGTGATAAAAACGTCAAAGTATAGTAGGTCATCGAAAATGTGACAAAAACATCATAGTATAGTATGTCATCAAAAATGTGACAAAAACGTCATAGTATAGTATGTCATCAAAAATGTGACAAAAACGTCATAGTATAGTATGTCGACAAAAGTGTCTCTAAAATGTCATAGTATAGCATGTCATCAAGAATGTCACAAAAATGTCATAGTATAGTGTGTCATCAAAAATGTCATAGTATAGCGTGTCATCAAAAATGTCATAGTATAGTGTCTCATCAAAAATGTCGTAGTATAGTGTGTCATCAAAAATGTCATAGTATAGTGTGTCATCAAAAATGTTGTAGTATAGTGTGTCATCAAAAATGTTATAGAATAGTATGTCAACAAAAATGTGATAAAAATGTCATAGTATAGTATGTAAAGAATAATGTGATGAAAACATCATAGTATAGTGTGTCATCAAAAATGTCACAAAAATGTCATAGTATAGTGTGTCATCAAAAATGTCATAGTATAGTGTATCATCAAAAATGTCGTAGTATAGTGTGTCATCAAAAATGTTATAGAATAGTATGTCATCAAAAATGTGACAAAAACCGTCATAGTATAGTATGTCGACAAAAATGTGATAAAAACATCACAGCATAGTATGTCAGCAAAAACGTCAAAAAAAGTCATAGTATAGTATGTCGACAAAAATGTGATAAAAACATCATAGCATAGTATGTCAGCAAAAACGTCAAAAAAGTCATAGTATAGTATGTCGACAAAAGTGTGATAAAAATGTTATAGTATAGTATGTAAAGAAAAATGTGATGAAAACATCATAGTATAGTATGTC